TAGTTCACTGAGCCAGCACTGCACGTATTTATTTTTTGCTGGTGTGTCCAGGGGATGCAATTTATCAAATGCATATAAACAGTCCATTTGCCGCTTTATCTTTTCTCATTAGTTACAGTACAAGTATGATTGTCAGTTATTATCCGTGTTTTACTGGCGGGTTATTTATTGAAAGAGCAGAGCAACTGACATTGTTATTTTCTGAATCAGTTTGTCTGAGGCCTGCAGGACTTTATACCAAATGTCAGACCAATTTATCACAGAATCGCTCTATTCAGGAAGAAAGCGACTTAGGGTGTACGTACAAACACATACCCACCTGTGTTTACACACATACCAGCAACAGTTAGGGGCTTTCCCAGGGGTACAGAGATGCTAAAGCTGGAACAGCTTACTTATATTTTATACAATTCGGCCAGGACTTGCTGTGCTTATCATTCCTGATCGAGACAGATGAGGCTCCCATTTATTTTCTAGGCTGGCATTTTGCATTATCTCAGGTAATCTTCAGGTGAAATTGCAGGGTTCAAAAAACTTAGCTAAAATATTTATGAAGGAGAAATGATCTGCTTCATGTGAGCTAAGTGTCTTCGGTTTGTAGGACGTGAAGGTGTAAGGTAGATGGTATATTACATCACCTGCAGAGGCAAGAGTAAAGCAGCTGGACTTCAAAAGTGGCTTCCGTTTGCTTCTGCCTCCCCATCTCTTCCTCGGAGTCTGCTCTGACAGTCTCCCGAGTGGCTATAAGCACCTCTAGGAAGGCAAAGCCCTGGGGAATGTTCGAACTAAATTGCATCAGCCATTCTGGGGCTGTGAGACATGGAAGAAAAATTCAAGTTCCCTCTCAAAAGGTGCTGAGACCATAGACTTTCCATTTGGTCATGAGCATCCATGACAAAGGAACTAATCACCCAAATTATAGCAGGAATGTTTTTGCTTCCTTTCATGGTAGGGAGGCTTAAAAGGTTTTATTGCAAGATGCTTTATAGAGCAGAATGTTCTTTGGCATATATGAATATATGTACATATATTTATTAAATTATCTATGATAAACATTCTTATTAATATCTATTATATATAATAATATACAATGTTTTATATATGTATATATTTTAAACAGATTTCCTTTCCATGAATGCTTATCAAAATGTATTATCTCTAAAGTAGTTGAACACCCAGAGTTACTCGGTCCCAATAATTTCACAGGGTCCAGTACTATGTTAGCACTATGTTAGCATGATATTTATTTAGTGAGATAAATGGAAAAATATGGTTTTATCTGTATTGATCACTTGTGAAAGATTAACAGAAAAATTGGGGCCATGATCATTCCCAGTCTTCTACTACCATTCTTCTACTACCAGCACTTTTCCTTTTCTCCCATCCTAGACATGTAATGATTTGTCACTTTCTTGCTGTGGCCTTTATACTTGTTTTAAAAAAAATTATTGATTGATTTGAGAGAGAGATTGATTTGTTGTTCCACTCATTTATGCATTCATTGTTTGAATCATGTATGTGCCCTGCCAGAGATCGAACCCACAACCTTGTCATACCAGACGATGCTCCAGCCAACTGAGCCACCTGGCCAGGGCCTTCATGCTGACTTTTTCTGCCTTCTTACTATGACTTTATGTTGCCCTGGGATATCTCATGATTCATACATAAGTCAACATGCTCCAATTTGAGACTGCTTAAATTTATAGGTTCTATCAGATTTTACCGGTTGGGTAATTTCCGTTGATGCAGTGACAGTGGAGCCCGCTTTTCCTCATGTGGGTCGGATTTGGAGGAAGGCTGCTCTGCCCTGCCCAGCGGAGGCCGGACGCAATGACACTGCGGCGAGGCCCACACAATGCACACGTGCAGCCGTGCTGCCATCCTGCATCCCTCAGCCTGCATCACACACTAATCGGAGTAATTGAATTTAATGAATAGCTATATTCAGATCTGCATCTTTCTATTTAGGTTTATATTTTAAAAATCAACTGTTGCCGAGGTCCTTGCAAGTCATTTTAAAAAGCTTCATCCCTAGATGATAAAATTACCAGTTGAGAGGCCAACTCAGACAGATACACATCTCCTGGTGAGTTTGATCTAACACATCTGATGGGCTTTTTAGCACAGTCTGAATTTTAACAGGCCGCACCATTATAGCGTTAGAAGGGAGTTCAGAGGCCAGGGTTCCTTAAGTCCTGCACTTTTCTGGGATCTGGGCGGACTTTGGGGTCCGTACAGCAGGAACACACTTTGATACAATGCAGCATTGAGGTGGTGTGCGGACAGGCACACTGCTTCCCAGGGCCACAGGCTGCTGTCCTTAAGTCCTTTGAGTATCCTATTGTTAAGTGGGACTCAGGGATGAGCACGTTCCCAGGAGGTGAAGCCCTGGAAGAGGAATTCTTTTATTTTTGGCCTTTTCCACATGGGTTTGGATGCTTCCTCCCCAGAAATGCCCCGATGTAGAGTGAATTGATGGATATGGCCCGGCCTGCTTGGACTTGCCCTATGTGCAGGCCAGTCAGACCAGCTAGTACAGTGAGGAAGGTGATCCACTTGTCTGGGCATCTCTCTGCAGAATGCCTACTAGGGAGCCCCCTCCCCCATCTCATTGACCATCCCCCAAGGGGGCTCTGGTACCCAGAGTGCTTCCCTCATGCTCACGATCACGGCTCCTGATACAGGGCTTCTCTCTCAGCTGTAGCGGAAGCAGTTCCACTGAAGGTTTTATCAGCTCCTGGCTCATTGGTTTTTGATTTGGCAATCCACCTTCCTATGGCAGAGCAAAAGCAGTCAGATGCAAGGAATCACCTTCTCCCCTGCTTGGCCTTGCTGAGCAAGGGGCTGTTTGAAGGACTCGTTTTGCATAATGAGCTTTCACTTAAGGTGTACTTTCACATTTTGGCAGCAATTAGGCAGTGTTACTACATTTCAATGGGTTTCAAATGCTGTAATGCAGATGTCTGCTTTTAGAGGCTTTATATTTAAAACTATGACTTTCCCCCAAGAAATTTGTAAAAATGGCAAATATAGTTAACCTGGAAAAGTGACAAGGTCCAGAAGCATGCTTCAAATTCCGTCCAAGTTATAAAGTAGTTGAAATCATTAGGGAATATTCAGTTCTTGACACTTTCTCAAACCTTTCTTTGACATCAAAGAGAATGTGACATGCGGCGGACACACACCCTGAGTTCCCAAGGACTTTCTGGTATTAGAACAGCGTATTCGAGGAGAAAGCATTTCACAGATTCCACACTGCCATTGGACACCACACCGTCCTCTGGACATGAAGAGGGCATTGATGGACCACAGTCAGAAAGATGGACATTTTGTTATTTTTGTCCTAAGTGGTGAAGATGAGTTCATTTTGGGTTGTCTTTTCTCTTGACCTTGTGAGCAGCAGAATGTGTTGGCACCATGCTTGCATCTAGAGCTCAGAGCACACTGGCCTGCAAACTGAGAAATTAGGTGCTAAATTTCCCACCTGCCATCCATCCAGTCCTTAACTTAGAATCATTTAACACTGGCTGCTGAGTCTCAAACCACATAGTTCCAAAGATTCAGAATCAGAGGTGGAGAGAGATGTGGCAGCGGGATTGTTTTAAGCTTTCTCAGTGATGTGTCAGGGTGCGGCCCGAGAGGCTTCCTGACCAGATGGGTGAGATGGCCAGTGATGCCACAAAACAAAGAGCAAAGGGGACCAATTCCTTGGAATTAAAATAATTTAATGGCGAGTCACCAGGATCCCAAGGAACCTGTTCATGTTTATTCATGTTCTGGAAAATGGAATCATTGCCCATGAAGCAGTATGTTCTGGTTTTATTCTAAATCCAGTTTCCTAAAATCTATTTAAGGGCTTAGGTGAACTCAACGAGGATCTAATAAAGCCAGGTAATTGCACAGCACAGAGGCCGATAACATTCACAGGAAATCGTGTCGGCGGAGATAAACTGCAGCAGGAGACAGCATGGACAATAATTTAAACTAATTGTGCACTTTGATATAAATTAACTTCTCTGGAAGAGAAATTGGGGCCTCATTTTGGACCACTTTCTGAAACTGTCTGCAGCACTCAGAGTACCTGCCATAAACACATAGGGCAAATAATTTGGGTACAGTCAAGAGGAAATTAACCGAAGAGGGGCACATGCCCTAACAATGGTGTGAGGATCATGTACAAGGGGGGAGCCTCTGCACCTTAAGAACTTTAGTTTGCTTACACCTTGGAGGTGGTGAGTGCTGGGGGTTGGAGAGAGACTAGACAGCGGTGGTTGGGAAGGAAAGGGTTATTAGAGGTGGGGAAGAGATTAAATGTAGATATGAAGAGGTGAGTGACCCAGACCTTTGCAATTTTAAAGTAATGAAGTGTCTAGCCTCAGAGCACAAACTGACGCCAGCTGCTGCAAGGAACACATGGTTATGAGTCAGCCAGATTGGCCAGCCTTTGTTTTTTTATCTTGACACTCAGAACAAATGGTGGTGTTAAGCTACATGTATGCCTGTGGTTAATTCTAGCATTTGAATGGCTGTTTCTGTGTTTTGTGAGGGCTGCAAAACTGGAACTGTGCACAGGCTACAGGTCTCCTTGTAAAAGAAATGTTGACAGTTGAATTATCAACTCTTACAAACAAAGAGGCTTGGTGGTCAGTGCGAGCAGCCAGGCCTCACCTGCAGTGTAATTGAAGTAGACGCACCTTGCGCTTTCAGAAGGTGTCTTGGTGTATCTGCCAGTTTGAGGAGAGTGTTGCTGCTTCCACAGGAGGCTGAAATGCTTTTACTCTTCATGGGGTTGTATCCATAAGGTTTGAAAGACAAGAATTGGAAAAGTAAATTGATATCATTGATTGCATGTTAATGTCTGTTTGGGGAAAGGCATCTAAGCCATTCTGGTTTTCCTTTGTTTTGGGAGGTGGGAGAAAGGCAACTTTTTATGCAGTTATGTGAGAAGCTTCCTGAAACCTGACCTTTGTTTTCTGTTTTTGTTCCTTATATAGGATGATTATTTCAGAAACTGGAATCCCAACAAGCCCTTTGACCAAGGTAAAGGATGCGCTGTCTTGCTGTCTGTGTCGTGGGAACGCTGTCTCATTTCTCTTTCCTTGCATGCCGAGGGACGGTTCCCACCCTGGCCAGCTAGCTGTCTTATTTTACTAACTTGGGGAACTCAATTGACTGGGGTGACCGAAATTGTTTTATCCTATTGGTTATTTGTTTGCGATTGCCTAAAACAGATTAAGAAAGAAATTGTGATGGAATTGACCACAATAATCATTGGTTCCTTTTGTTAAAAACAAAACAAGAAGTAAAATGGTTGTCAGACGAACCTGGTGCATTGTTGGGCTGAATCCAGTGATTTCATTCATGGGAGAGACTGTGCCTGAAGACGCTGTCTAACTTATAGGAGCCATAAAAATGAAACTTGCCGTCTAGAAACAAGTTAATCCCTAGAGGCTTTTAATGGCACTAATGTTTTTATTTTTAAAGTAACTTCCCCATGGTTTCTGAATAGAAGCCTGTTTGAGAGTGGGCTCACTGACCACTTGGGTTTAAGCCTGGCCCTCAGAGGGCTTTTCCACTCACCATAAAGCCAGCCTCCCGATGGCCATCGTAGTCACCACCGTGTCCTCCTGGGGGTTAGTGGAGACACAGTGAGGACTGCCGGGAATCACGCACCTGTTCCTATCATTCCACCTGTGGCTGCTGCTGGCACATACCTTGCTTGCCAAAAACGATGGTAGGTGGTACTTTAAGTATGTATATATAATTGATGCTGAAACTTGGAGGAAAAATATAACAACCAGGCCTCAAAGGTTCACTCTTCTTAGGATGAGCTTCATTTCTGTAGCTTGTGTATTTGATGTGATCATGATGGTCAGTGTGACACAAAGAATTCAAGGACAGCAGTGACATGTAACAGGGTAGAAGGCTAGGTTCTGAGGATCAAGCAAAAGGCTGTGGTCTCCACCTCGGAGGAGCTCAGTCAACAGTCTGTTGTTACTAGCTGTGATGTAGGTTGGTGTGGGGGGCGCCGAGTCCATAGGTGGGGGACTTAGCCTGTGCGGGTGTGTGAAGGGAGCAGGTAACAAGGAAGACTTTCTTTGGAGGACCTGTCTGGGCTCATACATATCTTAGGAGCCTCCAGTGGCCTCACTCCTTTCACCCTTAGCAGTGACTGAACCATCACAGTAAATCACATTAGAGCATATGAAGGTATTTGTAATTTAGTTTAGAAATTGTCCATCAAAAATGGTCAACATTTCTAAAAAATTTCCATTGAAAGGAAGTACCTTTATTTTGGAAGAACACCCAGATGCAGAGCAGCATATTTATTATCTGTGTCTGAAGAACACGCCCCTCTATGCACATCCCTACCAGGAGTTTGCTTACGGAGGTCCCTCGACTGACAGTGGCAGTGAACCAGAAATAGGTTCCTGTCCTGTAAGGATCAATATTGCCTAAATAACTGCCAGGTTTACACTTTCCCAAGGCTTGCAAACAAACACAAAAACTCTACCCAGGGAATATACTAACACATTGGAAAGGTAATATGTGAAGGTGGGCATCCTTTGCCCCTTGGGATAGAAATGATGGCTTCCCTTGATTCGGGGGTTAACACAGAAGCCAAGCACCCACAAGAACAGGGTATTTAAATCTGTTTAACCAAAAAGACCCAAGAATGATGGCTGCTATTTCCAGCAGGGCCCTGCCCCCTGCTCCTGCTTTTGCCAGCTTTGCAGGCTCGAGAGCTGGATCTGCTAATACAAATCCTCCCAGAAAAACTCATGACTTTATGGGGCATAATTGAGCACTTCAGCTGAGAAGCCCCACTTCGTACCTCAGGTGGAGCTGCTGTTGGCTCTTTATGTACAGAGCCATAGGGAGAGGAGGTAGATCTGAGAATAGCCCTCACTTAAAATATCAGCTACAGCAGATGTCATCAATTACATTGTGTGCTGCTCAATAAAAATGGGAGGTTACTCTCTCAGAGCTGACACCACTTGCTGAAATATAAACCACAGGCATGGAAGATGTGGAGCATTTCATCTTCCAGAAAATAGGAGCATTGCTGGACTCCAGTGGAAGCCGTCAGCTGCCAAGAGGTCAGTTCCCCTCCTCGGCTGAAAGAGACTCAAACGTGGTTAAGGTGGTTTTGTGGTTGGGGAAGACTTTCAGTTTGTAGAAATGGAACTTGCTGGAAAGCATTTCAGAGTTTCAGATGACAAATGTGGGCTGGGATGGAAGGGGAAGGGGCCTCATGATGGAGGTGGGTGTGGAGTGGGCTTGAAATGAAAGGGGAGCAAAAGGGAAGGAAGATTGTGTGGGGAACTCTGGCGGAGTGTGGTCAGAAAGGTGAAGTTGAGGTAGGTTGTGAAGGACACACCAATCCCTGAAATCTGAACTTGTATTATTGGCACTGGGAAGCCATAGAATGTTTGTGAGTGGAGGAGTGGCATGATGAGGGCAATATTTTGGATGACTTAGTCTGGTGACTTAAGAGCTGTGATTAGGAACTCAAGACATACCTGCCAAATGATGTCCCTCCCACAGGACTCTTAGGTTAACTTCTCCACTGCATCGTTCATTACCTCAGAATTTGGTTTATTAAACCAAGGTCGTCCGACTTGCCTTTTGGTTTTCAGGTTGGCCTCTGAAATGCCCATGCAGCTCCTGGTTGTCTTAGGTGTTGGTGTGAATAGTTAGGACCCTCATAGAACTCGTATTCAAGAAGATTTGACTTTGGGTGGTGGGCAACGCAGTGCAATATACAGATGATGTATCATAGAAGTGTACACTGGAAACCCCTATAATTTTATTAATCGGTATCTCCCCAGTACATTTAATAAAAAAAGAAAGCTACCTGTAATTGTTCCCTCTACTTGAGGATATTTACTGAACTCTGAACAACAGGGCTGCATAGAATGAGCACTTACCATGTAATTGACTCCAAGGCAGGCAGCAGAAAAGTGCCTCACCTGCCAGGCGCCTTCCAGAGACTGCAAATGTCTGTAAGTTGTTATCTTTAAGCAAATCACTGCTTCTGGCAGTGGCCTGGAAGAGCCATCAACTCGGGCTTTTCTAAGAAGAATTCTTTCTGAGATTCGGGCAGAGTAGGATATCCTTTTTGATTGTAATGATTTGATGCCAAATCTCACAGAAGGGACAGAGGAGTTGGGAATTGAAGGGAACATTGAACTCAGGTGAGAACTTCCCTTTGTGAGATCCACAAAGACAGGCCCTGCAGAGAGCTGGGAGGGCTGCAGTTTGAGAGGGCAGCGGGCCAGTGCGAGCGCTTTCCTGTCTCTTACGGGCAGGAGCAGTGGAAGCGGGTGTTAAGCAGATACAAGGCTTTTGCTTCTAGAAGTGGCATCTGGTCCAGCAAGATGCTTCGGGAAAAAAAGCCCCTAGTCAAGTAAGTGTGGGACCTACCCCTACCCTGTTCTTCCCATGGAGACTCACAGTGCTCGTTAGCAATTCAAAAGCTCCAAGACGTTTTTTAGTAAAAAAGCCCATTTAACTTACCATTTTCCAAATTTGCCTTTGACCACATGTTGCTGTTTTTTCACTCCACACCTCTCGGGTACCCAGAGAAATCAGTGTATTCGGTGGGATACACTTTGTTAAATGCGGGCTGGGGTCTTGGGCTTTGCAGCCAGATTCTCCAAGTTCAGAACTTGGCTCTGCCAGTGACTAGCTGTGTGATTCTAGGCAAGTTGCTTAACTTCTCTCGTTCTAAGCCTTCCCATCTGGAAATGGCAACAACAAAAGTATGAGAGGATTAAATGAGTTAGTATGCCTGGCATATAGGAAGGGCTCGATAAGTGGTGTTGTAGCAAGTAACTGATCTTTTTTTTACTTCCCCCACTTTCTATGTAGCTGCCTCTCCCTGCTGCTTCCCTCCCTTCCCACTCAGGGTTCTTTCTTTTATTCCCTTCTGGAGGCCTTCACAGTTGTCTGCTCTGAAGCTCTCAGGGCTAAATTGGAGCTGGCCTTTTTCATGTTAGGCAGGTCACTGTAGTGGTGTGCCCCAGATCCTCATTATTGGGGCTCCAGAGGTTCAGGCTCTTCATTTATCCCACAAAGTTACCAAATGCTCATTGTTTAAGCCCACTGTGTAGATAATAGGGACCACACTAAGAAAGGCCTCTCTGTGGGACAGTCCAGGTTATTGATCATGTCATCCATCTAAGGTCTTACACAGGCGTCATGTGTGTGTAACTACAGTGGTCCTGCTTTTCTGTGGGGGGTACTTCCAAGATTCCGCATGGATGCCTGAAACTGCAGATTGTACAAACCTTATATATACTGTGCTGTTTCCTATACATACATGTCTATGATAAAGTTTAATTTATTAATAAAGCCCAGTAAGAGGTTGATAACTAATAATACAATAGAACAGTTACACATATACTGTCATAAAAGTTATGTGTGTCCTCTCTCTGGTAATTGGTCTCATAACCGACACAGCCTGAAGGTGCATTCATGTCCTGGGCAGGGTGGAGCGGGACGGTGCAATATTTCCTCACGCTCCTCAGAGCAGCACCCAGTTTAAAACTTAAGTACTGTTTATTTCTGGAATTTTCTATTTAACATTTTCAGACCTTGGTTGTCCATGTGTCACTGAAACCATGGGAAGCAAAATCACGGGTAAGGGGGCCTACTGTACTGGGGCTGTTGGGGGGAGCAAGAATCAGTGGGGAAAAGAAGAGGGGTTGGTTTGTGAAGCTGGGAAACCTGTAAGGTGACATAGGTCAGTTTCAGCTGAGGTGACAGTTTTTGCTACAACGTGGCCTCACTCCTTTTGTGCCTGTAGCCTGTGGATCAGTGTAGCACCATCCTCTGTGACAATCACCTTCAGTGGACAATAAAGGTGCTGAAGTAAAGAGTCTCTTCCCTCGGAGGGGTGGCCGTTGAGGAAGGTCATCCAAGGGCCTGGAAGGGGAGGAAAGAATGTATTGAACTACAATACTGTGGTAAAATAGTAATAATAATAATAATAATAATAATAATAATAATAATAATAATAAAAGGGGTTGCTTGGG